ACCCCCTCAGATCCCAACCCCACCCCTCCTGCACCCTGAACCTCTCATTTCTGGCCCCACCCCAGAACCCGCACCCCCAGCCCAGAATCCGTACCCCCTCCCACACCCCACACCCTTGCCTCAGCCGAGAGCCCCCTCCCATACTCCAAACCCCTTGGCTCCACCCCCCAGACCAGATCCCCCTCTTGCACCCAAACCTCTCGTCCTCTGCCCCACCCCAGAGTCCACACCCCCAGCCAGAGCCCTCACCCCTTCCTGCTTCCCAACCCACTGCCTCAGCCTGGAGCCTTCTTCCACACCCTGAACTCCTCATTTCTGGCTCCACCCCAGAGGCCGCACCCCCAGCCAGAACCCTCACCTCCCCGCACCCCAACCCCCTGAGCCAGCCTGGTGAAAATTAGTGAGTGAGTGAATGAGAGTGGGAGAGAGAGAGCGACAGAGGGCAGGGGGATGGAGAGAGTGGGGGGCGGGGCCTCAGAGAAGGGGCGGAGCAAGGAGTGGGGCAAGGGTGTTTGATTTTGTTTGAGTAGAAAGTTGGCAACCTTAGCTCTGGGAGGGGAGTGGGTTAGAGTGTGGGGGGGGGGGGGAATCAGGACTCCTGGGTTCTATTCCAGCTCTGGGAAGGGAGTGGAGTCTAGGAGGTTAGAGTGCAGGGATGGCAGGCATCATTGGAACAGACCCAGGGGCCCAGGTAACCTGGTGTCCCCCCTCATCCCGCCACACCAGATCAGACCCATGGGCCTTGTACAAAGAGTTTGCTGGGGCTCGACCCTCTCCGGGCGCCGGGGAGCCACACCGACTCACTACACACCGGGGCGGGGCACTCTGTCCAGCGGCCGGATTTCCCCGTCAGTCCTCATTGTCCTGAGAGACACGATAAGCCCGGCCCGAGCTTCAGGCGGACACCAATGTTATGTCAGGGCTCAGACCCTCAGTCAGGGCTGAGCAACAGTATAAAGTATTTAGGCCCAGGCCCTAGGTCAGGGCAGGGCAACAAACGCTGGGGCAGGCGCTCAGGCCCTCAGGCAGGGCTGAGCAACAGTATAAAGTGAGCCTCCACAGGTCTGGGAGAGGGGGAGACGGCCACCCACGGGTTGGGTGGCAGGGGGGAAGCAGGCCCTCCCACTCCACTGCGTCCCAGCCCGGGGCCGTAGCAGCGGCAGGCGGCTCGCTGCTTAGTCAGTGGGGATCCTGGCCGCAAGACCCTGACATAGGCTCTGGCAATGCTGCAGCCAGACTGGGGTCGGCTGTCCCCGGGCTACTTCCACACTCCCCGTCGGGGCCCACCTGGGGGCCGGTGTGGACCTCGGGGGGATCCTGGATCATGGGTTCGTCAGTCCAGGCATTGTTCGGTAAGTCCAGCAACTCCTCCGGGTAGAGGGCGCAGGGTGGGCCCGGCGGCTCCTCTGGGCAGCGGGCGCAGGGCAGGCCCGGCGGCTGCCCCAGGCCACAGAGGTTTCCCAACCCCAAGCTAGGCTGGAGACGTCTGGTCTCTTCGGCGGCTGGGGCCTGACTGAGTTCTGAGGGCCGGCCTTTATACTTCCGGGTCGCCGCCTGACCCCCTGAGGGGCGGGCTCAGAACTCCCTGGCCCCGCCCACTGTGGCCTCCGGGTGAGCCCGCCCACTTCCCGGTTCGCCAATACCGACTCACTACAGGCCTATATAAACTGGTATCCTGCTTCTTCATTAAATGCTCCTTTGCGCTGCCCTAGCGCTTGGTATCCCTGCCTCCACCATGAGCCTCAGCTGGAGAACTGAGTTCCTGAAGGATTGGTAGGTAGAGGAAGAGCAGAGAGACAAGGGGGATGATCCAAGCGGGGTGGGAGAAGCAGAGGGGGTTGCTTCTTGCCCCTTGTCACAGACTCACAGGTCGTGCCTCCTCTTGGCCCCGTGCAGTCCATGGCGGGGACCCCCTTCAGTGCGACAGCCCTTCTCGGGAATCGACTCTCTCTCAGAGGTTAAGCCCCTCCGCCTCCTGGAACCACACTTCTCTGAGCCTTAGCACGCCTGTCTCTCGCCATGGGCCCCCTCAGGGAATCCACTCGCTCTGGACCCCGGGGCCTCCACTCCCAGAGGGAATAATGCCACCCTGTTCTCTAGACCAGAGCGACTCTCAGCCAGCGTAAAACATGAGGGTTTATTGAGCGTCTGAACACAGCACAGGAAACTCTCAGGGCCTCAGGCCTCCCTCAGCACAGCACATCCAAGTCTCCTCTGCATCCAGGTGGGCTCTGTCTGCTCCCCCTCTCCACCCCAGAGCCCCCCTGCTTCCCAGCTGGGCATCTGATCTCACCAGCCCCAAGCCCCACCTCTGTCCATTGTCTTCTATCCAGGTAAGCAGGATTGCCTGGGCCTCCTCTCCTCTCTTCTGTCTTCTGGCCCCTTCTGGCTGTAACTGGCTGGTTAGGTCATTGGGGCCCTCTCTTTACAACCCATTGTCCTCCCACTGGCCAGAACCGGCTGTGACTCCTGAGCTGGGCCTCCGGGTCACCAGTTCGCCAGGTCACCAGTCGCTGGGGTATCCATTCTCCAGGCCATTGGCTGGGGTCCCAAGTTCCATCACAGGTCCTCTGTAACAACAAACTCCCTCTCCCATCACCTCGTTAAACCAGTAACACCCAGGGAAACTGAGTCCCACCCCGTCTGCATGCAAACCATTGGAAAAACAAGGAAAAAACCAGAAAATCCCCCACTTTGTTACACCACTGAGATTGTGTAAAGGGAGCAGGGATGGAACTTGAAAGAGTCGGGACTCCTGGGATCTCACCCATGGTGTAGGAGGGGAGTGCGGTCTAGTGAGTTAGAACAGGGGTGAGGGTGGGAGTTGGGACTTCTGGGTTCTCTCCCCCATTCTGGGAGGGGAGTGGGGTCTAAGTGGGATAACGAGGGGGGGGGCGTGATAAAAAGTAAACAGGGAACTTAGAACAATACCAGAGAGGGGAGCACAGGGCAGTCCTGAGAAGCTGTCTGCTCCCTTTGCTAGCAACAAATCACCAGAGGAAATGAAAGTGCTGAGGCTGCTCCAGGTCTGAGTCTGCAGCCCCAGACCCAAACCCTTTCTCCTCCTTCCCCTTTCCCATGACCCCTTCAAGTTTCCCAGCCTGGCCAGAGTGCAAGCGGCCGGGGCCACGGTAGGAGACCCGCTCTAGGGATCCACGGAGAGACGTCCCTCTGAGACCTGGGTAAGGAAAGGCTCAGATCCCTCCAACTCAGCCCCGGGTCCCTCACAGCTCCCCTCCCCAGGCATGGTCCCTCTTGGGAGGAGTCCCCCAATACCCCAGCTTGCCCTCGATGGAGCTAGTGGATCCCCCAGGTAGATGACAGGGCCATGGCTCTGCAGAGGGTGCGGTCGGGACTGTGCTGAGTCAGGGAAGATTTGGGAATGGACCCCCCCATATCCCCACCAGTGTGGAGATACCACCCCCACATCCAGCTGCTCCAGCCCTGGATGGGAGATATCTTATTCCCACCCCACACAACCACCCCATCCCTATTCCCACATCGGTACAGCTGCACCCCACTTTGGTCTGTGGGGGTGTGGCCTGGGTTGGCTCCTCTCTCTCCTACCCCCCACGGATTGGTCTAGTCAGAATTGGATTAGACCAACCCCTGCCCCAGAAACTCCCCCCCCCTTTTATCTCTCAATATCCTTGTCACGGAGTATGGGGGGACACAAGGCCCTGCACCCCCGGCTTCCTGTGATTCATCATGACTCTCAGCCAGCCAGTAAAGCAGAAGGTTTATTTAGACGACAGGAATACAGTCCAAGGCAGGTCTTGCAGGCACAGACAACAGGACTCTCCCCCCCACAATTAGGTGCATCTTGGGGTCCCAGGGCACCACAGCCCCCTTGGGAGGTCAGAGCCCCGTCTGCCTCCCAGCCATTCCACCAGCCAGCTCTGACACTCTCACTCCCCCAGCGTCTCCTCCCCCAGCCTTTGTTCAGTTTCCGGGGCCAAGGTGTCACCTGGCCTCTAACCCCTTCCTGGGTTCTCACGTTACATGCTCAGATATCCTCCCTCGGCCAGTCTCCCATCCCCCAATGCAGACCGTCTTAGCCAAACTCCCCTGTCAGCATTCAAAGACCACATTAAGAACAGTCCCAGTTCGTCACAATCCTGCAGACAGTTATTGAGTAGCACTGACATGTGGCCAATTAGCGGAGGGCGTGGGGACATGGTTGCCAATTAGCAGGCGCTGTGAGTGAGGGGAGACGGGGAGGAAGCAGCTCCACCCCTACAGGAGACAAACAGGGATATCCCGCCCCCCAGGAAAGGGAATGCCCCACCCCCTCTGCAAGGGGAAGAAGGGGGAGGGGTTTTCACCCTGTCTCACTCTACTTATCTCCAGAGCTGGTCAGGAAACTTTTGACAAGATGGTTTCATGTCTAAAACAGCTGATTCATTGACATCAATGTTTTTCTGGGAATTTCACCAATTTCCTGACCCAAAAATGTTTTTTGGGAAAAAAGTTGTGACATTGCAGATGAAAAAATCTGATTATTTCAGAACACCTTTTTTGGGGGGGACAATTAAGCTAATTATCATTTGTAAAGACAATTAAAAAGAAATAAAAAGCAGGTGGTATTGAAAATGCCACATTTAGAAATGATCAGAACGGAGGGTTTTGATGAGGGTGGATTCTCCACCATGGGCAATTTTGGTAGCAGGGTGGGATTGTTTTGAAGAGATCTGCTCTAGTTCCAACAGGAATTAATTTGAGGACATTCTCTGGCCTGTATTGTAAAGGTCAGACTCGATTATCACAACGGTGCCTCTGGCCTTGGAATCTATGATTGTCCTGAACCGATTTTTGGTTTTTGGTTCATGAAAACGTTGAGATTTCAAGACTTGGCTCCAATTCAGGATGGGACAATTTTTCAAAAGTTTCAAATATTTGTGGCATGGGAAAAATGTTTTCTGCCCAGCTCTGCTAATCCCCTGCTCTCTCGCCCCACCGGCACTAATGGTGACAGTAGATCTGGGTTTGGATGTTGTAGGATGGAGGAGACCTCAACCTTCCAGCTCCCCTGGGCCCACCCCATCTTTCCATATGTGAACAGCACCTTCAGGAATCCCTACCAGCACGGAGAAGAGAATGGAGCCCAGCGTGAATGGGTAGGAGTTCTCTTTGCCATCCTCTTCGGTCTGGGATTCCTACTCGGAGTAATGGGCAATGGCCTGGTTATCTTCATTGCCAGCTTCCGGATGACGAAGACGGTGGTCTCTATCTTGTACCTCAACCTGGCCGTGGCCGACTTCATCTTCACCTCCTTCCTCTCCATTGAGGTGGCCTATGCAGCGCTGAACTTCCACTGGCCCTTTGGCCAGACACTGTGTAAGATCCACAGTGCAGTGTCCTTTCTCAACCTTTTCGCCAGCGTCTTCCTCCTCACCGTCATCAGCATCGACCGCTGCATCTCTGTGGCCTGGCCGGTCTGGGCCCAGAACCACCGCTCCCCCCGGCTGGCTTTCTGGGTGGCTGTGGCTGTTTGGCTTGCAGCTCTGGCTCTCAGTGCACCATATATCATTTTCCGGGACATTAGGAGCTTCCCGCTTGAAGGGGACAACACCATCTGCTACAACAACTACATCCCAATGGGAAACTTCACTAGTGAGGAGGTGGCCATGTTGTGGAAGCATCGACACCAGGCCATGGTGCTCACCTGCTTTGTTGCTGGGTTCTTGGTGCCGTTTGCCATCATCCTGACCTGCTACGGCGTCATGGTGGCCAAACTGATGAGGAACCATCTGGTGCACTCTGGCAGGCCCTACAAGATCATGGTGGCCGTGGTGACGGCCTTCTTCCTCTGCTGGTTCCCCTACCACCTCTCTACCCTATTGGCCATGTCAGCCAAAGGGGTGAATCCAGCAATACAGGTGCTCCTTGATGTCGCGCTTCCCTTGGCCTACCTGAACAGCTGCCTCAACCCTGCCCTGTATGCCTTCATGGGCTGGAGCTGCAAGGACACGCTGTGGTGCTCCGTGGTCTTGGCCTTCCAGAGGGCCTTCAGTGAGGCTGAGAACCAGGTCACCCTCCCCAGAAAGAGCCAGGACAGCAGTAGATCAGAGGTGGAATTGCCCCCCTTATGATCAGTCTACTGACACCTCTCCCTTCCCCAAGCTCAGGATAGAAGCCCAGGAGTCCTGGCTCCCAGCCCCCACCCCCCCGCTCTAACCCACTAGACCCCACTTCCCTGAGCCGGGGATAGAACCAAGGAGTCCTGGGTCCCACCCCCCCCATTCTAACCTACTAGACCCCACTGCCTTCCCCTGAGCAGGGGATAGAACCCAGGAGTCCTGGGTCCCATCCCCCCCCTCTAACCTACTAGACCCCACTCCCCTCCCCTGAGCTGGGGATAGAACCCAGGAGTCCCTGCTCTATTCACCGGACCCCACTCCCCTCCCAGAGCTATCACCTAGCTTGGATGGAATCCTGTGTGAGGCAAACAATAAAGGCCTCAGTTTTAACGTCAATTCTGGCTCTGTTTTTCCGAAAAGAGGAACCAGCAAGGAAAGAGAACCAGAACCTGCCACTTCCCCCAATTTACATTTGGCCACAGGATTGAGGAGACTCGGCCCTCTGGGGTCAGGAGTTCAGTTCCCAGCCTATAAGCCAGGACTTCAGACCAGGAGTTTCCGATGCTGTAAAAAAATCCTGCATTTGCCTGTTTAGATGATAAAATCTTTGGGACTGATGCCCAGTGCCCCTGCTCTGATCCATTAGCCCCCCTCTTTCCCAGATCTGGGAAAGAACCCCGGAGACCAAGGCTAGAAAGGATCATTGTGCTCAGACTGTAGTCTGACCTCCTGGATAACACAGGCCATAACATTTTCTTAAAAATTATGCCTAGTGTTTATCTTTCAGAAAAACATCCAATCTTGATCTAAAATTTGCTAGTGATGGAGAGTCCATCGCAATTCTTGGTAAATTGCTCCAGTGGTTAATTATCCTCACCGTTAAGTGTTGCCTGCCACAATTTATCTATTAAGCCCGGAGAAGGAGGAGCAGGGCCAAGTTGAGCAACCAGAAGATGTTGACCATCCTCTCCATGAAGAAGCCAGGGAGGAAGATGATGTAGTCATTCAAAAACATCCCGATGAGGAAGGTCAGGCCACAGAACATCAGAAAGATGTACATCATCATGTTACCTATCAGCTCTGTGTTCTTGGGGAAGCAGGGTGCAGTGCCCAGCCTGTCTGACTCATGAAAGACCTTCCCCCTGCAGCCTCTGCTTGAATCAAAACCATTCAGAAGAAAGACTTACCAAAAGGAATGAAAAGGTCGTGGGAGACACACCTAAACCCCTGGAACAAGGGTGACAGAATTAAGGAAACTCCCCTTACCCCATTTGCATCGAAGATGGGACAAGGAGGTATCTCCATTAGCATACAGCATGGAGGACAGAGATTCCAAGGCAAGAACTGCATGGAACTCTGGGACCAGAAAAGCAGGGAAGCACGGCATGATGGGGAATCTCTGCTCCAGATGTTAATGAACCCTCCTGCACACACCCAGCTCAGCAGTTATCAGACCAATTCTAGTAATAAATCCTTTATTGACATCCAAAATAGTGAAGCTCCCTAATTGCATTTTGAGCTCCCTCCAAGGAACACCGCCCAAAACCAGGAAAGATCCGTTCCTATTGTCTAGCCTCAACAAAACAACTTTGGTATACTCTCTTGAGCCATCAGTTTACCCATAAACAAATCTAGTGTTCTCCCTTGAACCATTGTTCTTTCCCTTCAAAGACGCCTACTCGCACTCAAGTAAGTGTTCTGATGCCTGGATCCAACATCTGCAACAGTTCCACTGGGACTTCATCTTCTCCTGACTGATCGTGCTGGAGGCTCTGCCTGACTCCAGCACTCCAGACCCTCAGCTACCACCACCCACTGGGATCCCTGATTGATTCAAGCTTCACGGAGTGGTGAGAACCCAGCTCTCTCTCTCTCTCTCTCTCTCGCTCTCTCTCTTTAGGTATACCCTTCTGACCCTGACTTCTGTGGTCGGTTATGGTTTTATAAACCTTACTTTTGCAATCAAATTTAAGTTAGATTTAATATTATAGCTGTTTTGTTTGTTTGGCTCCCCTATGGTTATTACCCAGCAATAGATAACTTTCATGGTTAAGCTGGTTGCTCCTCTCTATCTCTCTCTCTCCCCCACCTCCTGGGTGTTTTTTGGTTTCCTCATTCACTCTGCAGCAATGCTCCTTGTACCTAAGCTAAAAGTTCTCTGAAATGCCCCCAAATCCTCTGGAGTTTGCTCATCAAGTGGGTTACGACCAGAACAACTGTAACGTGAAAGTGGGGATAGGGACGTGCTGAACCTGGGACATATCAGGGTGGCAGCTTGAAAGTGCTGCTTGACCCAGCCTACTGAGTCCTGGGACATCTAAGGGGTCAGCTTGGGAGTGGGGTGTGTGTGTGTGTGTGTGTGTGTGTGTGTGTGTGTGTGTGTGTGTGTGTGTGTGTGTGTGTGTGTGTGTGTGTGTGTGTGTGTGTGTATGTGTGTGTGTGTGTGTGTGTGTGTGTGTGTGTGTGTGTGTGTGTGTGTGTGATTGGGGGGGAGGGATAGCTCAGTGGTTTGAGCATTGGCCTGCTAAACTCAGGGTTGTGAGTTCAATCCTTGAGGGGGCTACTTAGAGATCTGGGGCAAAATCAGTACTTGGTCCTGCTAGTGAAGGCAGGGGGCTGGACTCGATGACCTTTCAAGGTCCCTTCCAGTTCTAGGAGATAGGATATCTCCATTAATTTTTTTGCGCGGGGGGGGCTGGAAGAACCCAGCCTGGGGAACCGAGGTCATGCAGGATAGCTCCATTGAGAGGGAACTTGCAGCAGGGAGAAGTAGAGCACCATATGAGAACACAATTGACACAAGCAGTAGATTGATAGAAGTACAGAACCCCTGCCTCCTCCCCCCAGAAGAGGAAACCTAAGAAATGAGCTTACCCCAAAGTAACGGGCAAAGCTGGTAACAAATCGGTGGAGGAACGCGGGCAGCATGAGACCCTAATCACGTGGTACTTGTTCAGTAGTTGCTGCGGAATGGGAAAACTGAGGCACAGACTGTCTCTTCCTTTTTCAGACTAAGCTCCTTTAGCAAGATCTCCCTCTCATAGAATATTTGGTAACGTCCTGTAACTTTTAAGTTAAGAATCGTTAGAATAACTGTAGGACCATGCAATAAGGAGTTAAAGAGTTGTGCCTTAAAAGTAAAGATTTTGTGAAAGTGAAAGAGCTTTTGGTAGGGATCATTAGTGAGATCAGGGAAGTAGAGATGGCTGGAAAAACCCCCGTGGCTGCTCGCTTGAGACAGGAGAAAACCAACAGGCTAGAGAGATGGGTAACGAAGAAGGGGAAATGCCCCTGGGAAAGCGGATGCTTTAAGGGTGAGAATCCCCTGACTGAAGCGAGTCTGAGCTTTGAACAATATTGCAGAACCTTTAAGCCACAGGGTAGCGCAAAGGATGCGGCTGCTGCCTGGGCATTATTTTATGCATGTCCGGACATGGCCGAAATGGTAAAGGGAAGGCAGGAACTGGAGCTAGAGAAGAAGCAGTTACACCAGCGTTTGAACAAATGTGAGACAGACGGGTGTGAATTGATAGCAGAAAAGCTTCAAACGGTGACTCTATGTAGAAATATGCAAGAGGAGAGAGACAAGGCCAGCAGGAATGCAGAACAGTATAAGAAAGAGTTAACACACAAAACAATGTTGTTAGCAGAAGCGAGAGCAGCAACTCGCTTCCTGGCAGATGAGAATAAGGCACCCAAAGCAGCAGCAGGACATCAGGCCTGTGAGGCAGAGGCTAGTAAATTGTGTGTCCAACTTAGTGCCCATAAGGGGGTGGTAGCGGCTGTAAGGTTGTGATTTGCAGCCCTCTGGGAAAATAGAGAAGCGCCCTGATGCTGACCCCCAAAACCCATTCAACCCTGATTGGCCACACAGACATAATGTGGCCCCTGTTTCCACAAGGGAGGTTAAACACATAGTTGCAGGAGCCGATCTTCCCCCAACGGAGCTGGCCACGGACATAGTAAGATGGTCTCCTAGTCACGCCAAGGCTATTGCCGAGAGACTGGGGCCACTGAACCGTGACACAACCGTTGCATGGCTGGCTCGTGTTCGGCAAATGTACCCCTGTGCTGACGGCATGGACTTAACCCAATTAGCTCAGTTATGCACCTCTCCTTGGGATGCGGATGCTCTGGACATAGGCATAGGTTCTTGGGAGCGGACTGCCATTGGACTCCGGAAATGGGTGATAAGTACTTTCAAAATATTACTGCCTGCTTCTTCCCTCAAGAAACTATATATAATGGAAGAGCAGACACCAGAAGAGGCCCCCGAAGCTTACCTATTTCAAAAATAGATGCTGGCAGCTCTCTGATTCATTCCCCCAGACCGAAGAGAATGGGATTATCACTTCCCATTATCAGGGACCCGAATCAGTACAGAGCACTTATGCAGGACTAAATTCTCAGACAAAACTGACCATGGGGGCTGTGGATATAGAACACCTAACCTGGAGTGAACTAGTGGCAAAAATCAAACAGGCAGGGACTTGCTACAGGAGACTGGCATCTTAAAAGGACAAATCAGCAAAAAGACTATCTCAGAGCCAGTACAAGTTATTAGATTTGTGAATAATGGTCCTCACCCTTCCAGTCGCCCTCCCAATGATAACCCCACTGCCTCCCACAACCCTGGGCAGCGCTGACCCAAGGAGAGCCTTAGGAACGTGATTTGGATGGAGCTGGTGAAGTTAGGGGAGGATATGGGAAAATATGATTGTCAGCCCCTCAGCATCCTGATTAATGCTTTGTCTCAGGTCATGTGGAGAATAGAGTTAATGCAGGGAGCCCCCCGCCGGCCCACTGCCCCGGTACGGAGTGTGTTCCCCACGCCCACTCCCTGTCAAAACCAGACCCCTGCCCCCTCCTCTGAGTGGAGGCTCTCGAGGGAGTCGGCCGAGCAGTAGGGGTGCCCGGGTCCCCGCGGGCCTCCCCAGCTGATCGCAAGCCTTCAGTGCGATGTATGGGGGAGACCCACTGTCAGGGCTACAGTGGGGAACCCAGGGCTATTT